AACTCCTGTCACTTCATTGTTTTTGATTGCTGCCTGTGAGTGTTACATCTTGACTGGGTCAGCATTAATGTCACAATGTTCAGTTTCACATATGTCATCAAAATCTAGTGCTGGGGGAGGAAGGGGATGCTTAGTCATTCAAGGACATATTTTAAATACTCTGACCATCTGTTTTTCTGTTCTACTTCAGTTATGAACATTTTTTCCATTTTTGCTTTTGATTTGGTTCATTTCTTGTTCTGAAATTCCATACAGGATTTTAGTCACTTGGTAACTGACCATGTGGTTTCCTACCATGGCAACAGGTTCAGCACCAGTTCTACCTACTAAGCCTTCAACTTTCTCCATTCTTTAATTTACAGCACAGAAATAGGTGTTGCCTTCCTTGTCTTTGTGACACCATAACATTTTTTAGAGGCACAAAGGTGAAGAAAACAGGCATCCATACTTTTTGTCATGCCACAAATCCCACAAATTTATGGTGGCAACAAAGGTAGTAACAGAATGTACTGCAGTAGACATCTATCTACTTGATGGTGGGAGACTGCAGGTGGCCAGAGCTGCCCAGGCTCTCCAGCTGCCCTGGGCAGGTACTCTGGAGGTTTGAGGGGACCCATCCTGCACACCCCAAATAATTCCTTCTCCTGATTGAGTCCCTTAAGTCCCTGAAGCACCTGCCCAGCTTCTCCCACTTTGAGACAGCCCAGGGAATCTTGGGGCACATCTCAGTAAGCAAATAAAGCCAAAGTTTCCCCACTTATAGGGATACACCCAGGATATTGTGGACACATCTTCTTAAGCTAGGAAAGCCTGGGGTTTTCTGCTTATGGAGACTGGGGCCAAGGATCTCTCAGGTATGTCTCCATTGGTGTGGAAATCCTGGGATTCATTGTTTAAGGGAGATATACCTGGGAGATCCTAGGGGTATTTCTCTATAAGTGGGGAACCCCAGGGTGTGTGTGATGATGCAGGAGCCAGGGAGTCCCCAGCATCTTATACCTCCGTGCTGGGACCTGCACTGGGTCCCGTGGAGGTACAGGTCAGTGCAAGTCCCAGCACAGAGGCTGAGGTGGTATGGGAGCCATGGATTCCCTGGCTCCTGTGCCACCCCAGCCTCTGTGTCACCCTATGCAGATCCATGCCTCAGCAAGACCCAGTGTGGGTCCCAACATGGAGGCATGGGGTGACAAGAATTCTCCACCTTCTGTGCTGCCCTGCACCTCCTTGCCAGGATTCATGCTGACCCATGCTTCACCCAGAGGGACAGGTCAAAGCAGGCCCCTGCATGGAGCCACAGCACAGTGAGGGAAGCAGGGAATACCCTGGCAAAGGGAACATGTTGCTCCTTGTCCCAGATCAGGCCCCTGCTTGATGTGGGGCAAGGGATGATATGCAATAAAACAGATCAGCTTTGGCGAGAGACATCCCATCACAACGGATTCCCTTCAGTATGTCTACATCTGTTTGTACCCAATTACAAACATAGTAATGCAACTGTGAAACAAATGTAATTGGAAACACCTTAAACATTCTGCTCATTATTTATTTATTTTACTAATTTCTGTTGTGTCTTTTGCAAAGATTAGGTAGGCAGTTAGCAAGCAGAAAATTAAAACACATAACACGGAAAAATAAAAATGGTTAAGGAAAAGCTTAATGAAAGAGGCATCTTTGCATTATGCCTGAGGCTTGCCACATTTGGGTTTTGAAAGGACAATTTGCAGAGGACCTTAACTAAGAAATCCCTGCCAGTGGACAAAGAGACAGAACGTATGGTCCGGCTGGGCCACATAAAACAGCATGAACTGTCAAGTAAAGAATTCCACATGCACAAGGGAAAAATCAGCTGTCAGAAGGTTAGCAAGGCTTCCTTCTCACCACCAGCAGTGGGCTGAAATAAAGAGAATTCTGGGATTGAGTTTAGGTAAAGTAGAGCATTGACATGTCTGATCCAGTTTATTATAGGCCAACCAGTACTGGAAATCAGTTTAGATCCTATGTTACTCTAAACTCACAGGGACTGGGTGGCCAAAGATCAGGGAGCCGAAACAGCTACATGCATACTCTACAATAAAGCAGGGAATGACAGCTAGAACATTCAACATATATTCCAGTATTATGAGAGAACACTCATTAACTGGGAATAAGATCTTTTGGCTTTAAAGATCATAGTAAATCTGAACTGGATCTATAAGTGCACAGAGAATCTGTGCTAAGTCCTGAACTTATGTGATTGTCCCTGCTTGTATCAATTAGAAAGCAGGCAACTATGTTCTAGATGAGTAATTTTTACAAGTACAATTTTCCATACAATTTGGTGGGTTGCGGGGAGGAAGGGATGAATTCAGGAATTGTTCTAAATATGTACTGGCACTACATAGCCAAGGATAAAGGTGGTAGATGTGTTGACAACAGTTAGACAGTCTGCATTAGAGTGGATGCTCTACAGTATCCTTGCCAGTAGAAAATGGAGACGGTATTTGTGATCCCTAACATCCATTTGGGAATAAAAGAACAAAAGTGAATCTACAAGAACCACAAGTCTATAAAACATTTCAGCAAAAACAAATCTGACAATGCTAAGAAGGCAGTACACACAGAACAACCACCAGGCCCTCAAATGTTTCTTCCTACCAATTAGTATGATTCCTGTGGTTAATATACTTTTCAGTGTAGTATCGCTCTACCAGAAGAGATTTTATATGGAGAAATAATTTGAAAAAAAATATGCAGCAGCAAGTTTGTACCAATGCATTCACCTTATCTACAGTCTATGCACTAATAACCTATCCTACCCAACTTTGCCCATCAGGTTCCAGAGCAAGCAAGAAGCATTCTAAGACCTCAAAACCCACAAGGATGATGGTCAAGGTTTAGGATGACATAGATACACTGATTAAAGTACTGACTACCTCAGAGTTCCCAGCTCCACGGATTTACCCAAGAACCTCATACAACAAAGATCAGCAACCTTTAAGGAACAGCGGGCTGAAATAAAGCAGCTGGCTCCAAAGGCAGACTACAGTACACCCCCGATTTACGCGATTCTGACTTACGCGTGTCTTGTGTTTATGCGATTTTTTATTAGGGTCTGGACTAGAAAATGCCCCTCGAGATGCGTGTCATTTGTGTATATGCATGAACGCTTGTGAGATTTGCATATATACGTGAACCCCTCACAAGATTTGCAGGCAGAATCAAGCGGAGCTGTGCCGCCATTGTGCCGCCATTGTGGTAGCGGCATCTCAAGATGCATAAGTGAGACACTAGATGCGCCTCCTAAAGGCGATTCCATTGAGAAAAGGGGAAAAAAAGCTAAGACTAAGGTATGTCTGGGGTACACAACCCCTCACTATTCTATTATTTCCTATGGGGAAAGTCATCCCAACTTACGCAAAATCGACTTACACAAAATTCCCCTGGAACGCAATACTCACGTAAATTGGGGGTCTACTGTACTGCTTACAACCCAGCTGCCACTGCCACCACTCCTAGCTATCTGCTGCCTCCCTAGCCTTTCCTCCTCTGTGCTCGGACTGCTCTCACTCTCACGTCCTCATACTGCAGAGGCTGATGATACTGCCCATTACCTTTGGTCAGCAATTTCAATTGCCACCAACTGCTGCAAACAATTAATTTGACCGAGAAGCAGCCATTACAGTAAGAAGAGAGCAGGA